CTTTGATGGAGAGAAACAGTTTACTAGTTAAGCTGCTTGTGGATCACCTTTGACTGCTCCAAGATCAGTTATGCGCAAATGACATTGATTTTTAATCCCCAAGAAACAATTTGTCTCTTGCTAACCACCTTGGTCAAGATGAGTTATCCACTAGCAATTAGAGTCCACAAGGATAATAGGTTTAAATTACTCTAACGCTTTAACAAGGTGTCTTTAATCAGATCAATCAGTTAACAGACATAGGACCATAAAGAAACCCCCCATCTCTAACTTTTCAAGAATCAATTTAGCACATTTAACATTTGTATTTATTTGGTTGCTATTTGTAAAAGAGCATTAATGGATTTTTCAGATTTCAAAACAATATGTGGCTATCTTCTGTAATTATGAAGAGAAGTAAAAAAGTGGGAAAAATAAATCAGCCCAGCCCCATCATTTACTTGGAGTCCCTTGGAGTATTTAAACTTTCTGTTGTACAAAAATGAGCCATACCAGCGTTTAATATATGTTCTTTTTTTCATTCTTTATATAAAAATGAAATGGAAATATGAATTTTTTTTCCTCCATGTTTCTATCTTCTTCTAGATTCTCGGTTGTCATCCAAACACCACATGTTATTATTGAAAACCAAAGACCTGTTGGAAATATAAAATGTTCCGTTTGTAAATTATGTTTCCATAATTTATTTACAACTACAGGCAGGAGGTGGGAAGTCAGTGAACTGTTGTCAGTCTGATAAGGCAGCTGATCACCGCATTAATATTGGGGAGAAAATTACATGTTTACTAATGATTGCAATGGCAAGACAAACAATCCAATCTAACTGTGTGGTTGTGGGTTCCTACTGAGCCTGGGAAGAGAGGAGGAGAAGGAAAAATTAATATTTCATAATCAGTTCTGTTTATGAGCGCACACAAGAAAGTGACATGAGAGAAAAGAAGGATGCAAAGTGTGTGCTTTCTTCTGCATCCACCCAAAAAACAATCGCAGTATGTTCAGCTGGGAACAAAATGTTATTTGTTTTAAGGGTGACAAATTATTGGAATTTAACCGGGAAGGTGTTTCAGTGACTTGTTTGGCTGCCACAACAGTGTGGATGTGCTGACTCTTTACTGGAGGGATAAAACACTCCAAAAGATGCTGGTGGTAGAGAATACTGTTTAACACTATAAACCAAAATCTAACACAGACTCTGCACTAGCATGCTGGGGGCTTCCCATGATGAACTGAGTATTTCTTTTTCACTATGTGACTGTCAGTCACTATGTGTTTAAACACCAATGTACATTTAATCATTAGTTGTTATCATTAAAAAAAGGGAGTTTTTCCTTCCCAGTGTCATCAAGTGCTCACTCAAAGATTGTCGTTGTTTTTTCCAGTTGTATTGTAGAGTCTTTACCTTACAATACAAAGACTTGTATTCAAGTCTTGTACAAAGTCTGACTGTTGTTGTGATTTGGCGCTATATACATGAAACTGAATTAAACAGATGGATAGATAGATCTGTGTGTGTGTTGTATGTGTTGTATGTGTGTGTGTGTGTGTGTGTGAGGGATGGGGATTTAAACACTGACAATGTAAAAATTGCATGTGGTTAAAGCTCACGGTCTAGGTTGTTGGTGCAAATGTCCATATGTGATAGAAGGGAGAAAGCCTCAGTGCTGAAAAGCAGTTATTAATCACAGTGCAAGCGTTGATTCATCAGTTGTTGAGGCAGTTTGGAAGATAGAGTCTATTTACTGCTAAAGTTGTTTGAGGGGCTTTGGGGAGGCAGCCATCAATCTCTTGGCTATCTTCAAAAAGAAGGAGCCAATGCACAGGCATCAGTTTCAATCACCTCCCAGAGACAGGTGGTATGGTAAGCTGCTGCACAATAGTTTTGTCTTTACTTCTCTACTTCTTTACCTCAAGGTGATTTTTTTTCCTCCCTGGGGAAGCATGTTAATAATGCATTTTATCATAATAATAATAATATTCTCTAAAAATAAATACTGCACCTTGCCCTTTTGCTCCCTCGGTGTTTGGCACCCCACATTGCTAATTAGCATCTTCAATTAACCCACATTAATTGCAAGCCATGGAAAGGTGGAGGAACCTGGCAAGTTAGTGCCACAGGGAACTGCTTTGTAAATGATTGGTGGTCTAATACAGGCGTGTAAAAAGGGGTTCTGTACTAGTGCTCTTTTAACCTCAATCTACAAATAACTCTTCAATATAATCTTATACACATGACATTGTAAAAAGCACGGCTAAACTAGAGAACTGATGTTGTTTTATAGTGCACGGTGGTCCCGTGTAGTTAAACAACAATCACACTTGGTTTTTGAGCCACATCTTTCCCCCCTACTACCGTTTTCCATCTAAGTCAGTGGGGCCCATTACCTCTGCAGGAGTCTAATGGTAGCACTTTTGCATCTATTGCTCCCTCTTTCTTAATATCATCTTCGTTTTGTTTTGCATCACAGGGGGCGTTATCAGAATTGTGCTTCACGATGTAAAACACTTTAATGACTTTGTTTTGGTGCTTTGATCAATCTTGGCGTTTTTGTGTCCGTTCAAATTAAATACAAAAAACAGAGGACTTTTTTACATAAAAATGTCATATCGCAGTATTAACTTCTAAATCATCACAGTAAGGAGCAACATGTAAAAAATACAGAATGCCTTGTTGGAGGACTACCTCACTGGCAAAGCCTCCTTAACCCAGTTTATTCACACAGCACTATTGGACCATTAATGCAGTCAGCACTTTAGTGTAACACCAGGGGAGCTCCCAAGACCCCCAGATGGACCGGAATCAATTGGAGTTGGATGTGTTAGCAGTGCAGAGCGCAGCCAGTATAGTCTTGAGTTGGTGTTCGTGAGAAGTGAAGTGCTGATAGAGGTCACTAAGAGCAGCTGATTTCACCAAAAAACAGAATGCATGTGTTTTCTCTTTTTTTTTTCTCCTGTAAATTCTCCTGCAGTTACCACCTTCTAACCCTTCATTACTGCACTAGTACAGTTTGGCCCTCAGTGGAGCTGGGACCTTCCATCACCTGACACTCAGTTTGTATGTGTCCTCTCAACCAAAGTGAAAAAACGCATTCATGTAAGCAATTCCAAGAGTGTACTTCCACAGTGTTAGAGCACAGTCTTTAACCACATTTTGTATCCTAGTGTTTCTTTTTGATAACAATACTGTTAGATTGTTGCAAAACTATACTTTTCTTAGATGGTCCAATTCAGTTGACTCACCTGCTCAAGTCTTGGGTATAATTATATGAAAAATGAAGCAATAAAAATAATAAATATCTTCGAGATTAAAGCTGAAGGCTCAAAAGTGAAATAAAATGAAATGATGACCAGCTCCGTGGAACTTTTTCACTGTAGTCTGTGATTCGCGTTCAATCAAAAATGAGATTTGAAGGATCAAGTTATTTGGATTTTGATTATTCTGTGCTTCAGATCACAATGGTGCGAGCATACAATCAGTTAGACACGCTGAGTAGAGAGGACGTTTGATTACCCGCTGATTAGAACAACTTTCCTCTCTAGTTATCATTGGTGAGATAGACACTAATCCGAGTGCTGATTGGTAGAAAAAGATCTTAGCACAAAGCATTTTCTGGGTAATAAGGTCATATGAGAAGAAAAAAAAAGACAAAGTTCACATTAAGAAGTTTAGACTCAGTAACTTGTGGAAAAAAAAAGGAGTATTTGTATTTCTATTGTGTAGGTAAAAAGACAGATGATAGGCATTACTAGTCAAAAAGGAATATGTCAATCTTTTAAACAGAATATATAGGCACATATCATTTTATTCAAATAAAAATATATTTTCTCAAATGTTCAGGGGGAGTGATTTTTGTGTACTATTTTAAGAAATTTGGTGGTTCCAAGCTAGAAGCCTATAACTTTGCACTTAAAATGTGCCAAAAAAAAAAAAGCGGTCTATAAGTTAACGGTATCATGTTGTGTTTTTTCCCTTACTCTGAGAAAGGTGAGGTCACGACTGCGGTCAATGCTTGTGATCTCCAGGTTGCCCATTACAACTTCACAGCTCTCATAGTATTTCCTCAGAGTGCGATACTGCTGCTCCAGGTCCGACAGCGTGCTCAGCTTGTTCTCCGTTCCAGCACATACTACGAAAAGAGAAACAGGAGAAGAGAGATAAGTCAGCTGTAATCCAGCTACATTCATTTTTTTGACTGAGGATGGGTTTGGACATTGCCCCAAAACACCACAATGCTATTGTTAAAACCTGTATTTTGGATTTCTAACAAAGTATAAAATGTTTTGTATCTATAAAAGGGTTTTAATGTAGAAATTTAAATAAGGACAACAATTTAGGAGAAGACATATAAACAGCTTGTTTTTCAGCACCACACCTGTGCTGCGAAGAATCTAGAGTGTTGTCATGTGACTAAGCTGGCCATGTAACACGATGCAGCCACTGAACCACTACACCACAAGGCTTTCCTAGAGCTTCCCTTGGTGCCTACAGGGCAGATGAGAGCTCTTTAGTACCTAGCTGCGCTGCTCACTTTAAAGGTAATTAAACAGAACCATTTCCACCCATCACATACCTTGCACACTCAAGATGACACAAGCCATCTGCCCTATCAGCTGGTGTTCCCTAGTCTAACATTAAAACACACACATGTATGACTGCATGGACACAAACAGATAAATCCCAAGGTTTGTGGCTAAATCTTGAATCCCTATGAAATTAAACATCGTTTGCAGTTCCTGCCCACCTATATTCCTTTACTAGTCTTAAAATATAAGCCACATTCACAATAAGGTATTGCCTTAGTGTTTTCACTTAGGCACTATTTGCAAACCTGCTGATATAAACCCAAGTTACAGATGTACATTAACATTTGCTCCTTTTGAAGAATTAGCTTCATTTCCACACACTGTCATGGCAGTGTGGTTTCTCCCACCTACACCCTGTTCACGCTTGATAGCAGTGAAGCCATCACTGTGACCGAGGGGTGGTGGGTCCTTGTCATGCTGTCTCCCTTGAGCTGTAACCTCTCTCTGTGAGCACATCCACCTCAAAAGATCTTTACTGATGCTTTGCATTTCAATCCCACCCTACTATGTGCTATACTGCAGTCTCCATCACATACCTTAGATCACTCTCAGTCCAACCTGCACTCTGTCCACTCTGCTAGCAAAACATATGCCAGAACTCATTTACACCGTTATCTTCACACAGGCACAATGCAGAAAAAATAGTTCTTATTCACTCCATTGATTACACAATAGATATATGTGAGGAGAAGAAGATTCAACCTCAGGGCAACAAAGACTCAAAAGACAAATGAAACTGTGTTTAAATACTTCCACATCTAAGCAGATATTAGATAAGTGGGGCTATTCTTCTATGACCTGGACAATACCCATTCTATCTGGGGCTGATTAGCTATGTTGTGCATAGCATTCCGTGCTGCTCAGGAATGATATATAGCAGACCTGGGTGTTTTCAATAACAGTTAGCGTGGGCTTGAGGGGAGCGGGGTGGAAGCGGTGGGGGCAGGTGGTGGGGTGGGTCATAAAGTGAAGATAGGTGTAATAAACTGTTATTGCACCCTTGAGGCAGAGCGCCGAGATCAGAGGAAAGGGGCATTGTGGCATGTGATGATGTGATGTCTGGTGAAATTTACTTTTTCGTACCCATTTGCAGACCTTCAGTAAGTCTGCTGACTTTTGAAACCTGTCTAATGCAATGTATAGAATGTTTACATTTTTTTTTCTTCTTAAATGTGACTTCTAATGACCTACCACGAAAGCTCTGCATGAGCTTGAGATGGTGCTGGCTGCCAAGTGAACCACAACTAAACCATCTGTGCATTTATACTGTAGAGGATGTGTGAACTGTTAAAGGTTTACTGCAGAGCCCGGTGCTCCAACTGGTGTAGACTCTTATGTCTGCATGTGTGTGCGTGAACGTGGGCAGGCTGTAAACAATAGACCTCAGGATGTATTTTCCCCCTCTCATCGCATGATCGAATCCATTTGTCTCCATGCTCAATACGTTACATCTGAGTCCGTATGTCACACTAAAGGTTGCATAAAACAATTGGACAACCTGCCCACCCATGAGCACAAGCTATAAGATGCTGAATTGTCAATTGTTTAACATACTGCCAGGAATACAGGAATACACTGCAAGAACAAATGAATCTTCATACTGTTTAATGCTTATGGCTATTCCACAAAAGGAAATCTATGTCATCTGTTTGATATATTTCACTCTCTGGCACTCTCAATGCTGAGAATGCCAATGAGTTTAAGTGTCTTTCTTCCATGTATGAAGGATAATTGCCTGTGAGAGTAAATTAATGTGATGTGTTTGCGGAGAATTTCACCTCAGAAGTGATACATCGTAGCGATAAATCATAATAACACAACATTTCCCAATAATACATGTAATTAATGAGACTGTGTGCCAATGGGGAAAAAATGCACATGGCTCAATTTCTATGGTCTTGAACAGCATATAAAGGCTTTTGCAGCAAAGCTTGCATTTAGCCAGATAATGCAAAACCGCATATTTATCAAGTAAATAGATAAACAGACAGAGAGCTCCCATGTATCTCTGACAGACAGCCGCCAAAAAAGACGACAATGCATCTATCACAGTTTGACACGATCAAATTCTCAGCAAAGAGTAAATTCTTTACACAAAACAAAACAATGTTTAAGTCTTTGCAAACAGGCTGAAATGCCCCTTAGCCGTATTTTCATCAATTTTAATTTCATAAATATCCTCATCAGGATTACACGGGAACTTTAATGTCGTGATTTCTGATCCCTTCTCATTTCATTTGGTTGTGCACACAACAACTTCATCAATAGTGCCTTGTGCGACTATTGAATGCCTATAAAGCTGGTGAGCCTCCGAGGTTTATAGGCTCCTGCCAGTGAAGCCAGGAAAAGGTCATCCCAATAGCAAGTAACTGACCGAATTAAATAAAGTTGCAAATGTCACTTCCTTGAGTAAACACTGTCAATAGCTGAACTTCGTCAGCGTGAACTGAATAAATAGGAGTACCTTGTAGAAATAAGCTTTACACAGTGGAAAATACTACATTTTCTGTCAGGCACATTGAATAAAGTACCATATTTGAGGTCAGAGTTGTCCTTTGTCCCCTAATGTCTCCCAGATGAGCCTCAGTGGCTAAGTGTGAGTTACAAGCCACTGCCTCGGATGGTAATCATGGCCTAGATTATCGTCCATCTGCTGAGCAGTTTAATAAGCATCAGAAACAATAACTAGATGAGTGTTCGTGATAACGGCACGGTCCAGTAACACTAACCTCTTGTTGCCCTCTGAGCTCTGGTCATCTACCAACAATGCTGTCGCTGTCTCCATATGGTCTACCATAAATTAGCAATCGTGTCATCAGTGGTGCATATTTCCAACACCTTGTGAGAGTTTTCCACAGAGGATAACTTGCTGTTGCTGTTATGCACTCTCGCTCCCCTACAAAAGCAGACAGCATTGCATGCATTTTAAATATTAAAACAAATACTATTACTGGTACTATTTAGGCTCACCTTCTTTTTCACCTATTTTAACTGTATTTGCTTTCAGTGAACAAGCTCAAACACTTTGAAATTTCAAAACCAAAACAACAACAGAGAATGTATACTTTATGTTACTTTTTGTAATTGCAGTTTATCTGTATGTTCTCTGCCTCCTGCTGTTCTTTAAATCTGCTGTCAAGCTACAACTCCATAAACAAAAAAGAAAAAGCTAGCAATCCCAGTGTCTGATTTGGTTGTTGCCATTACTTATGATTACTGTTGCTATTAAAAGAGTAAATATACAATTATGTAACACAGCACAGCATAGTATAGATATCACACCTACTGAGTTAGAGTCATAAAACGTTATTAAAAATTGCTGATGACAAATTGCAGATTTAACTTTATTTCAAATGTATGTATTTAAATGTAAATGAAATGTATTTTGTAATCCAGTAATTACTATGGTGAAACTGTGCAGAACAGTGTGCTTTGCTCTACCCTATTTTTTCTCTCTTAGCACTCTGCTCTCAGTATTTCAGTGGGATTTAAAGTTGTCTCCAGACGGAAAAAAACCCACCGAATTTGCAGCGGAGTGATTGGCTGACGCTGAAACACACCTCATTACCCCAAATCCTCTAGCTTCTTCTTCCTGACTGAGTCCACGACTGATAGTAGGTATAGTGAAAAGACTTCTAGACCTGCACTGACCTGTAGAAATGCTTTTGAGTTTGTCTGATCTTCCACTTTGGCTTACGCCTGTAATGCACACATTATAGTGTGCAATAATAATAAAGGACACATTAAGAACCATTGAATGACTCTCAGAGCCCTCGCATTTTGCCTGCAGAGCCATCATCCATAGACATGGACTGCCACAGCACCTGGACTCCCTAGGAACACAGACCTGTTTATTGGTTTTAGCTCTGCCTTCAGTAACGTCATTTCAGTTTTGCTGTATAAAATAAATTGCAGGTGGATGAGAAACTTCTTGTTTGACACCATGTAAAACTGTGAAAGCATGATGATATCCACAATCAGTGAGGCTTCCTGACAAGACTGTGTTCTTCCTGCTGTACTCTTGTCCCTGCACACCAACAGCTGGAGTGTGCGATCTGTCAAACTCGAATGTTTTCTTTGGCTGGGGCGAGTCCACTTACAGGTGGGAGATTACCTATCTGGTGGCGTAGAGGAGGTAGAGGATGTACAGAGCATGTACTTCCTGTAGCAGCTGAAGAAGGTCAACCTGCCAAAGACTAAGATGGCGCACTTCTACACCTCCCCTGTCCATCCTCACCTCCTCTATCACCATCTGGTATTCTGCTGCCACTGCCAAGGACTACAGCACGTCATTTGTTCTGCTGAGAATGTGATTGGCTACAATCTGTCATGTCTCCGGGACCTGTACACCTCTAGGATTCTGAGGCGGGTAAGAAAAATTGCAGCTGACTTCTTCCACCACAAAAACAAACTCTTTGAATCATTCTCCCTCCAGGGCGGAAGCTGTGGTCTATCAAGTCCTCAACCTGAGGCCCCAAAGAACTGCAGATGGCCTCAACATTAAGGCTTAAGGACCCTCCGTCACCACAGACCTTCATGCCAC